AGAAGAACTCACTCTGCAATTCTCAAGCTGAAAGAACTGAAAAACAAATCTAGGCCTCATGTCGCAATGTTGAAAGATGCTATGGGCAATATATTAAATGACCCAGAAAACACCAAAAGAAGATGGAAGAAATACATAAAGTCACTGTACAAGAAAGAATTGATTTATACTGAAAAATTTCAGAAAGTATCATATGAAAAGGAGTTATTTGTAATGAAAGGTTTAACGCTGTATTTAGAAAGAGAATGCTAGTTTAAGAAACACATTTAAAAACAAACAAACAAACAAACAAAGAAACACAGGTTCTGTTTCTTCTCATTGGATAATTTACCATAAAACTAAAATGGTTACTATCGAGAATTCTGTTTCAGAAGCAGAACTTTGAATTCACCATCATGGTAATCCTTCTGATTGACACTATGAAACACATCATATTTTTAAATTTTGCAGTAAGAAGCTTTGCTGCAATCATGAAGGCACGTAGTTCGAATCCACCAGCTCTTCCACGGGAAAAAGATAGGTAATCTCCTTACATATGATTAACTACTTCAGAAACCTGTAGCAATGTCTGCTATGGGTCTGTTCCAACTCAATGATACACAACAGTAACAACAACAACAAGACTGGTAAGTATCATCTCACATACTTTGGCATGCTGTTAGTAGTGGTTGATGTTGACCCGTAATGACCCTATGTACAGTAGCTCTGAAACCTTCCCTGTCCTGAGCCAGTCTCACTAATTCCAACACATTATCTCCCATTGCCCCAGTTACTGTTTCAACCCATCTCATCCAGGGTTTCCCTCTCCAGTGCTGTCCCTCCACCCTTCTGAGCATGATGCCCTTCTCGAAGGACTGATGTCTCCTAGCTACATGCCCAAAGTAAGAGAAACGGAGCTTCAAAATAATAGCTTCCAAGGAGAAACTTGGTTTCACCCTCTCCAAGACAGACCTATTTGTTTTCTTTGCAGTCCATGGTATGTTCAAGACTATTCTCCAGCACCACAACTCGAAGGTATCAATTATTCTTCTGTCATCCTTAGTGTACAGCTCTCTGGAGCATAACAAGTAATTTAGAAGAGGTTATTTCTTGGAAAAGAGTATCATGCTTGGAAATGTCAAGGGTCAGTGCAGAGAGGAAGATCCTCAACAAGATGAGTTGACAATGTGACTGAAGGAATGGATTTGACTGTATCAGAGATAATGAAGGTGGTGGTACAGAACAGAATAGGGTTTAAATTTACTGTTCCCAGTTTTGCTACTAGTCATACTTGATTCAATAGCACATAACAACAGGA